GCCCATACCCATCCTCTAAAACCTAGCTAAAACTGGTTGCCCTGGACACACCTTCTCACCCCACCAACTAGGGGAAAGGATTTACCCATTGGACAGCAGTAGAAGTCCTGGTTTCAAGTTTTTCCTACAATCCCTCCTTTGTGTCCCAATAAGAGATGCCCCTCTGTGTCAAGCCTCATTTTCTCCGTAATTTTCAGGGATTGTAGAAGAAATATGTAATCAAGTCTATTAAATGTTATAAGCTACTTTAAGAAATATTCAGATAGCTTGGGTGTTTCTACCATTTTCTATGAATTGTATTTTTTCTTCAATTTACTAGACAAAAGCTAGAAGTTATACATTTGCTTAACATTTATCATGTCCTGTACAGAGCTGTGACTAGCTAAGGTGAGTTCTCTCCTACCCTCAGCCTCTGGAACCTAGTTGATACAGGAGAGGTTGAATAATACTAATAAAATTGCTGTGTGTGGATAAATGGAGATTTTTAAGATTATTGCCTATTTGTTGTATCTTTCAGGACAGCCCAGAAAAGAAGAGTAGGAGCAGCAACATGCCTTCAGAGAATTGGCAGTACCTGAATAGCTGTCTCACTGCCGCAGGAGGATGGTGACCCACCCTCTCCGGTATTGCAGCCCCAAGGCAGCAGGGAGTCTCTGAGCAGATGAACTGGGAGGAGTCATGTGATAGTATTTTTCAGGGATGAAGACTAAACAGCATTGGCCAGACAGCCAGATGATGGTGGCTATTTCAAGGAGTTTCCTAGAATGGCACTGATATGTATTCCAAGGGAAGCTGGGGGTGAGACATTGAATCTCCCTACCCCTCCCCAACCAGGACTCCCAGACATATGCACAGGGCTCAGCTCCCCACATCCTGCATGCCACAGGCTGCAGTCACAGGAAACACCTACGTCCACTTTCTTTCTCTCACCCTCTCCCACTCTGAATAGCATTGGGAGTAGAAGCCATTCAGTGGCAAGAACTGGTGTCCCAAATCCAGGCTCTCTGAGGGTCCCTGGATGTTAGTTGGACCCCCAGTTTTGCTTAAGAGATCTCTCTTCCCCTTCCTCTTTCTCTAAAATCAATAGAAATATACCTTTGGGTAAAAATTTTTAAAAATCTCCCCTATTGATGGACATTTAATTTTTCCTAATATTTTGCTATGATAAACATTAAGATATTTTCTATATGAATCTTGATCTATATTGTACTTTATTCCTTAAATTAAGATATTGTCTTAAAAGATAGTTAATGCTTTTAAAAGGGGCATAATTAGTTTTGGGGCTCTAATTGGTGTCAAGATTTTTTCTATAGACAGCTAAATTGCTTTCTGGAACTATTCCCATCAGCAACTTGGAAGAGCACCCCCTACAGGTCTCCTTCCCTTCTCAAATCCTGATGACTACAAGTTATCTCCTTCTCACTACCTTTCCCAGAGATTTTTTTCATGTTATAAGTTGTCACCCCATCTGAAGACTTCCAGATGAAGACTTTCACCCACACTCTCCCTAAATTTAAATGCGTCTCTACTCTCAACTCTGCTTCTTGTCTCGAAGTCCAGATACCTCAAGTACACTTCATCTCTTTGCATTGGGTCTCTTCTCAGTCACTACCATGATCCCTCTTGTGGTCTTTGCAGGTCATAACTTCCTCTGGTCAACTCAAAATGTAAATCATGAATTTGGAAGAAAAACAAGGAATTATCTAGTCTACCTCCGCCCCTCAATTCTGGAAAATATCTTTGGTTACTTTTTAATAGAATGATTGTGTAAGTTCTGTCTACAAAGTAAATAGAGCACAAAAGGGTCTTAACATTCAATCAGAAATAATGTTCACATCTGAAAGAACTGAGATAAGATGGTTAAGAAAGGGTTGGATAGAATGAACTAACTTGAAACTGACTTAAAAGCAGCAAACACCATGAGCTACATAATTGTCTCCTTTAACTTTTGGAATTCTTGGCCTAGTGACCATAAAATGAGGTCCAGCCTGGACTTCAGAGCAGTGGGGCAGACTCTCCCCAGATGTCAGGCGGCTCCAGGTCTCGCCCAGCAACAATCTGTATTCTACCTGCAACTGAAGCTACTTGAGAAAGTGATCTTCCAAAATTATCTTGAAAAGGCAAGACTCAAAATGTTTGGGATGTCATAATTGTTTCTTTAGCATATGTAATATCTTTAATTCCCAGAGGATTTAGAATAAACTATAAATGTTAAGGAAATCAAACACATAGTATTTGTTAAAGATTCTGTATATATTACTATACTTAAGTACATGTTATCCTTAAGAGAAATTGCCATACAGATTAATCTTGTGCTACCAACTTAAAAATGTATAATTGAATATTTAAATCTGTCGTTGTATGCTGAAATTTTACTGGATTGCAAATACTTTTGAACTTTTTTTTTAATTTAAGCTCATGAAGGTTTACTACCTGTACTTTCTTCTTCTTTCTTTTTAATTGTATTTTAATCATTGTTCAAATACAGTTTTCTCCCTTTTACTCCCAATCCAGCCCACCCACCCAACCTTCCCCACTTCCCTCCCATACCACCCTCCCCCTAGTTTTTGTCCATGTGTCCTTTAAATTTGTTCCCCTGAATCCTTCCCATTGTCCCCTGAAATTCCCTCTTCTCTCCCCTCTGGTCACTGTCAGCCTGTTCTCTATTTCAGTGTCTTTGGTTATATTTTGCTTGTTTCTTTGTTTTGTTGTTTAGGTTCCTGTTAAAGGTGAGATCATATGGTATTTGTCTTTCACTGCCTGGCTTGTTTCGCTTAGAATAATGTTTTCCAGCTCCATCCAAGCTGTTGCAAAGGGTAGGAGCTCCTTCTTTCTTTCTGCTGCATAGAATTCCATTGTGTAAATGTACCATAGTTTTTTGTTCCATTCATGTACTGATGGACATCTAGGCTGCTTCCAGCATCTAGCTATTGTAAATTGTGCTGCTATGAACATTGATTGGGATGCATAGGTTCTTTTGTATTGGTGTTTTAGTGTTCTTAGGATATAGTCCCAGCAGTGGAATTGCTGGGTCAAAAGACAGATCCATTTTTAGTTTTCTGAGGAAGTTCCATATTGCTTTCCATAGTGGTTGTATCAGTCTGCAGTCCCACCAACAGTGCACTAGGGTTCCCTTTTCTCCACAACCTCTCCAACACTTGTTGTTTGTTGCTTTGTTTATGATAGCCATTCTGACTGGTGTGAAGTGGGATCTCATTGTGGTTTTAATTTGCATCTCTCTGATAGCTAGCGATATTGAACATTGTTTCATGTGTCTTTGGATTTTCTGTATGTCCTCCTTGGAGAAGTGTCTGTTCAAGTCCTTTGCCCATTTTTTAATTGGATTCCTTGTCTTTTTAGAGTGTAGTAGTGTAAGTTCTTTATATATTTTGGAGATTAAACCGTTGTCTGAGGTATATCATTGACAAATATGTTTTCCCATACAGTTTGTTCCCTTTTAATTTTGATACTGTTTTCTTTAGCTGTACAGAAGCTTTTAATTTTGATGAGGTCCCATTTGTTTATTCTTTCCTTTATGTCCCTTGCTCTAGGGGACATGTCAGTAAAAAAGTTTCTGCGTGAAATATCTGAGATTTTCCTACCTACATTCTCCTCTAGGACTTTAATGGTGTCATGTTTTATATTTAAGTCTTTTATCCACCTTGAATTTATTTTTGTATAAGGTGTAAGTTGGTGCTCAAGTTTCATTTTTTTGCACGTGGCTGTCCAGTTCTCCCAACACCATTTGTTGAAGAGGCTATTTTTACTCCATTTTATGTTGCTGCCTCCTTTGTCAAATATCAATTGACCATAGAGACCTGAGTTTATTTCTGGGCTCTCTGTTCTGTTCCATTGGTCCTACTTTTGAACTTTTAAGAGAACTTAAGTATCATTCAATTTAAAATCAGGTAATTGAATTTCTTAAGAAAAATCTTTAGCTCTGGCTGGTGTGGCTCAGTGAACTGAATGCCAGACTGAGAACCAAAGGGATTTCAGTTCAATTCCCAGTCAGGTCATGTGCCTGGTTGCGGGCCAGGTCTCCAGTAGGGAGCATGTGAAAGGCAACCACACATTAATGTTTCTCTCCCTCTCTTTCTCCCTCCCTTCCCCTCTCTAAAAATAAACAAATAAATAAAATCTTTAGGGAAAACAGAAAGAAAAAATTTAATGTATTAAATGTACAAATATAGTCTATAATGTTTAAGGGAATTTATTAAATCATAAAATCCCCCTAAAGTTGCTAAAAAAGTAGATCTCAAAAGTTATCATGAGAAAAAAATTGCAACTATATGTGGTGATGGATGCTAACTAAACATATTGTGTATGGCAATTATTTTGCAATATACACAAAAATGATGTATATTGTGTTGTACACCTGAAATATATAATGTAATATGTCAATTATATCTTAATGATAAAAAATAAATAGAACACTACAAATAGCTTAATCCTCATTATTTGAAGAAAGCAGCTAATTCCTCAAAAACCACAAACAACCAAAACTCAATCATCATAAACAATCATAAAAACTCAAAATAAATTATCTGATTAGTCCTGTACCATTAAAACCTTTTTTCAATTAATGATTTAAAAACTCATGAAAAAGAATTTTCCAGGCCTATAAGGTTTCACTGAATAAGTATACTAAATATTTTAAAGAAGGATTATATTGGCTAGAATTTTAGTACCTTGTTGTACACCAATTTAAGACAATATTGTCCAGAAAACATCTCTTCCAGAAATTGTTCTATTCTATAATTTTTGTCAAAAGCATAAGTTTTATCAATAGAAAGAGGGAATGATTCCAAACTCACTCTTTAAAGCCAGTACTAAAACAACACAGTACAAAAAAAAAAAAGTTTGCAGACCATTATCTCTAATGAACTTAGACACAAAAATCTTCAACAAAATACCAGCAAAACAAATCCAGCAAAGCATTTAAAAAGTATACACCATGACTAAGTGTGATTTATTCCTGATATACAAGACTGGTTCAACATTTAAAAATTAGTGTAATCCATCATGTCACTAAGCTAAAGAAAAAACAACATGATCATATCAATTGACACAGAAAAAGCATTTGACAAAATCCAACTCATATTTGTAAAACAAATTCCTAAAAAGTTAGAAACACAGGGAAATTACTTCAATTGATAAGGAACATCTACAAAAAAATTTACAGCTGATATTATTCTTAATGGTGAAAGACTCAATGCTTTCCCCCTATATTTGGGCACAAGGCAAGTATCTTCACTCTCACCACTCTTAATCAACATAGTACTAGAACAGCTAATACAATAAAACATGAAAAACAAATAAAAGTCATATGGATTAGACACTTAAAAAGCAATTGTTACAACTTGATAGGTTTATAGGTAAAATCAGGTTTGTAAGCAGAACATAAAAACTTAAAGAAAAACTAGAGTTCTTTCATTTATAAGTTCAGTAAATGGAATATTAACTTTTTAAACAAAAGTAAACCTGTAGTTGAATTTTCTGCACTCAAAAGATACTGTTAAGGATGTCGAAAACTCACATTATCTACACTAGGCCTTCCAGATGTTCTTTTGTAGGAGAGCTTAAGCCATTAGACTGTTAGAAAGTCCTCCCCCTGCCCGTTATGTTAAATCAAACTCATTGATCTCCAACAACTGGTCTTAGTTCTGCCCTCCTATGGACACTGAACAAGTCTACTCCCTCTTTCTCATGAACACAGCATCACCTTTTCTCTAGATTCACCTCTCCCCTAGCCAATACCTCCAGGTCTGCCAATCTTTTATTTGTTCTGCAACCATTTCTTTTTTTTTTTTTTTAGTATTTTTCATTGATTATGCTATTAGAGTTTTCCCAATTTTTCCCCTTTATCCCCCCTCTGCCCTGCCCCCCAACCCTCCAGCATTCTCCCACCCTTAGTTCATGTCCATGGGTTGTACATATAAGTTCTTTGAGTCCTCTGTTTCCTATACCATTTTTTACCTCTCCCCATCTATTTTATGCCTCCTAATTATGCTTCTTCCCTGTACCTTTTCCCTGCTATTCCTCCCTTCCCCCTCCTCACTGAAATCCCTCTGTGTGATGTCCATTTCTCTGATTCTGTTCTTATTCTGGTTGGTTGCTTAGTTTTTTGTTTTCATTGATTTCTTTTCTTTAGGTTCATTTGTTGATAGTTGTGAGTTTGTTGTCATTTTAGTGTTCACATTTTTTATCTTCTTTTTCTTAGATAAGTCCCTTTAACATTTCACATAATAAGGGCTTGGTGATGATGAAGTCCTTTAACTTAACCTTATCTGGGAAGCACTTTATCTGCCCTTCCATTCTAAATGAAAGCATTGCCAGATAGAGTAATCTTAGATGTAGTTCCTTGCATTTCATGACTTCAAATACTACTTACCAGCCCCTTCTTGCTTGCACAGTTTCTTTTGAGAAATCAGCTGACAGCCTTATGGGAACTCCTGTGTAGGTAACTCTCTTCTTTCCTCTTGCTGTTTTTAGGATTCTCTCTTTAAATTTAATGTTGGGTAACTTAATGATGATGTGCCTTGGTGTGTTCCTCTTTGGGTCCAACTTCATTGGGACTCTCTGGGCTTCCTGGACTTCCTAGAAGTCTATTTTCTTGGCCAGATTGGGGAAATTCTCCTTTATTATTTTTTCAAATAAGTTTTCAATTTCTTGCTCTTGTTCTTCTCCTTCTGGCACCCCTATAATTCAGATATTGGAACATTTCAAGTTGTCCCAGACATTCCTCGGCTTCTCTTCATTTTTTTGAATTCTTGTTTCTTCATTCTGTTCCGGTTAGATGTTTTTTTCTTCCTTTTGTTCCAAATTGTTGCTTTGACTCCTGGTTTCCTTCCTGTTGCTGTTGTTTCCCTGAACATTTTGCTTTATTTTACTTTGGGTATCCTTCATTTGTTTTTAAATTTTTCGACTAAGCTCAATCAGATCTGTGAGCATTTTGATTACCAGGACTTTAAACTCTCCATCAGATAGGTTGATGATCTCCTCCTTGCTTAGTTCTCTTTCTGAGATTATGCTGTGTTCTTTCATTTGGGCCATATTTCTTTGTCTTAGATCAGCTGATAAGTTGTAAGAGCATGGGGCCTTAGGTATTTTTTGGAGCAGGGTAACCCTCCTTGCTGCACTGTGGTGTGCCTGTCAGGGAGGGGCCAGAGAGGGAACAGTGCAACTCACCTGCTCTCTCTAGCATACTTTCCAACGGTCTCTCTCATGTGAGTCTGGGAGTTTCTCCCACTGTAGCAACTGCTGTAGCCCACAGACAACTCTGAGTCTCAGTCTCGCCTTCAGTCAGCTATGCCCAACAGCCCACCACCTTGCAGCAGCCAGTCCCACCCACTTGGTCTGCTCCAATTTTTCTGAGTCAGCCTGTGCACTCTGCTGCCTTACCAGTCTGGTTGTTCTGGTTGATTTTTTTCTTTAATTCCTTGGTTGTCAGAGTTCCATGCACTTTGATTTTCTGGCGCTTTTGGTTGTTTATTGATTTTAGATTCGTTGTTATACTCCTTTTGTTTATGCGAGGAAGCAAAGGGTTTCTACCTATGCCTCCATCTTGGCCAGAACTCCACAACCTGCGTGTTTGCTATGTACCAGACACTGTGCCAAACACTAAACCTTGGCTTGGTTTCCCAGGTCTCTGCCACCATTTCTTGAATGCCTGCAAAGTTTCAGGCACTGTGTTAGATTGTAGAGAGAAAACAACAAATAAAACCCAGGCCCTATCCTCCAACCTACAGCCTAGTGATAGCAAGAAGCAAGTGATTAGGCAATTAGAACAGATAATTGCCTACAAAAGTTAACAGGACCTGATAACATATGGAGAATGCAGAGGAACACTTTGCATTTGGCCCAGTGAAGAGGTGGGAGAAGAGGGAACAACACCTACAAAAGTGCCTGAGATAACAGGGAGCATGACCTTTCTTAGAATTTACATGTATTTCCATATGGTTGGAACTTAGAGCAGGAAGACAGGACTTACTCTCTTCCTCCTTCTCACTGGTGTCATCTAGTCCTGAGAGACTTAATTTATGATTCAAAAATCCTCTGACATTGTAAACAGAATTGTGCACATATGTACATGTATATGTTTTTCTGGAGACAGTCCATAGCTTGCAGCAGATTTTCAAAGAGGTTATTAGCTTTAAGTTAGGAATTACTGAGTTAGATTGTCCATGTCTTTTTATAGGTGCCTTCTGAACCTAATTTACAACCAACATGCTCACAGGTGTGTTCACAGATGAAGCATTGCCTCCCTCCATCAGGACATCACAGTTCTGCCAATGTGGCTTAATGCAGCCCTATCACACAATATAAATTCACACATATTCATATACACAACCCTCATGTCATTGCCACGTAAATTCTGCCAGATCACCTCATCCTTGTTCTTGGTCAATTGATACCAAAGTGAAAGTCAAGACTCAGCCATGGCTAGTGTGGCTCAGTAGATTGAGCACCAGCCAGTGAACTGAAAGGTAACCAACTGGTTTGATTCTCAGTCAGGGCACATTTGGGTTTTGGGGCAGGTCCCCAGTCAGGAAGGAGCGTGTGAGAGGCAACATATTGATATATCTATTGTATATTGATGTTTCTCTCTTCTCTTTCTCCTTCCCTTCTTCTCTCAATAAATAAATAAAATATTTTTAAATACTTTTATATAGTACCTGTCAAACTTCAGCCTATTGCTCCAGATTCTCTGATTGTCATCAAAAATAAAACTGATTACAATGGCTAATATTTATTGCATACTCTTTATGTACCAGGCACTATGCTAAAATGTTTTACATACACTATCTCATTTAATCCTCCCACCCATTGCTATTATCATCTCCATTTTATAGATGAGGAAACCGAGTCTCAGAGAAGGTAATAAAATTGCTAAATATGACTGAACTATGATTCTAAACCAAACTCTTAACTGTTAAGCTATAACAGATTCCATATTTCTTTTCCTTAGCTACCCCCCTCCCATGTAGTCAACAGACTCAATATTCCACACCCAGTTCCCTGTTTCCAGTGTTTTCCTTACACATATCCACAAAATGAATCTTTCTAAAACACTGTCAAATCACATCTGAACCTCTCAGGTTATATTTGAATATATCTACCCTTTTAAAATTATGTGACTCACTGGTTTAAAATCCCAATATATGTGCAGTCTATTTGAGGCTGCCTTGGAACATGGCTCTAAAGTGGGCTTCTTCCCACTGCCAGGGTCTGTCAGACAGCAATCATCAACATCTGTCTCGGCAATCAGTTGTCCCATGTACAACTCCCCAGTTAGGTAGTAGTAGACATTCTAAAAGACAGCAAAAGGGTCTGCCATGGACAGTCAGTGGGGATGCCCTTGACCATGTAGTGGACATAAGGACTGCTTGTGAGTCCCCTAGACACTCAGTCAACATGGGAAACACCCTCTGCTCCTTTCTTCCCACCCCTAGATGATTTTAGGAAGAAGATCAGGTATGAGGAGGGAACACTAGCCTGCTTCCTAGCATACAGGGAGCCTAACCAAGTCATGGTTTGCATGGATGAGGGAGCTTAACTTTGGGGGGAAAAAAACAAACCCACAACTGAACTGCATAAGGTATTATTGTAAGCCTCAGCTATGGGTTTTTTTGTCAGGAAAACTCAAATTTTCATTCTGATCCTGCCTTGCTCAGTGAGTTTGAACAAGTAGGTTATTTTGTGTCCCAAATTTTTCCATTTGTAATGAAAATGCTATCTATCCTGCATCCCTCAAAAGGTTCCATGAGAGCAATGTGCAAAGTAACATGACAGATGTGAGTAGTCTCAGGGAAAAAAATTCCCTTGGCTACATCTTTCACCTGGTGCCAGATCTCTTCTGTTCCTTGGAGGGATTTCCATTTAGCCTCTCTTCTCTAGCCCTCTGTTCAGCTGCCCACCTTCTAGGCACACAAGGAGCAGCAGGAGAGAAGAGGGAGGCAGTGTGAAAAGGGAGGAAAGGGGATTGAAAGTTATTGTCAATGAAAATATTACCATAGAGAATGAATGCAACATATCAGAGCCTTTCTACATAGCCTACCTATACCTGAAATAGAACTGTCTTGTCATGACTTTTTGAATGAATTTGGAAGTGCTTAGTTACAAGTATAGGTTTGGGTTTCACCATTCATTACCCAGGATGCTTAGCTCCTGCCTCCCCATCATCTAACACTGAGTCCAAATCTGGCAAAGGTTGCTATGGGCTGAGCCTCATCACACTCATCCTACATGGGCAAAGAAGATTGTGGAAGATACCTGTGGACTATATTCATTACAGTAACACATGATGGGGGTATTGCCTGGAATAGGTCCCTGATCCAGGCAGATATGTCCATCCAATAGGTTTCTTATCTGAAAACACTGCTGTAAAGAATCAGAGAAAGAGGGCTGTCAAGCCTCCCTAGGCTCTGCATTTTCTCTGATTCTCCAAGGGTGCCAGAAATGACCCCCAAAAGGGACCAGCAGTTTAGTATCCTGGCAGCAATTTTCTAAACACTAGGCAAATGCTGAAGTGAAGCACTGATATGATATCAACCTCCTGGGAACCCCCACCCCCTTGGCCCATCCCAGCACATATAGAGAGGGGGCAATCATGCCTGTGTTCAGGTGGACAAGGCCAAACATCCTGATTGGCTGAGAAATTGAGAGGGTCAGAGCAAGGGCTGTAGTTTGCAAAGTAAAAGAGTAGGAAGGGAGAGGGGTCCTGGAGGACAAGAGATAAAAGGAAACTGAGAGGGTCCAAGGTCAAAAAGCCAAGGAAGGAGTTAGGGATAGGAAAGGAATCTTGGGCAGGATGGATTTTGGAAACCTTTTCTGGGTAGTCTTGCGATTCAGGTTTCATTGTCTGTTATAGTCAAACATTTAAAATCTGAAATGCAATTTCATAATACATACTCTTCCATAGCCCACGATGTTGTGGATTGGCTTCAGGGCTGGATAAACATTTTTCAGATACCAGTCAAAAGTTTTACATTTCTGTTGGGAACCGCCCTGACTGGTATCAGAAGCTGAAACCCCCGCCTAGGCTAAGGCTAAGGGAACGCCCTTGGAACCGTAAGCCAGCAAGGAGACAAAAGCTTATCTCCCTGGCAGGAATGCTGCTTCTGCTGCTTTATTCATAACTGAAACCCAAAAAGCTTGGTCCGTTAGCCAAAGACGGGTAAGATTCCCCAAGGGGGGAATGACCTAAGACAGGCACGATCACTTGGGAGGCCCCCCAAAAGGACTTTGGGGGCTACAGCAAAAGGGGGTGATGGACCCTCACTCCTTGGCTTTGACATAGCCTGAGTCCTCATCGTCTGGGAGAAAAATCTCCTTATCTCTTGGTTGCCTTAGTTCCCATGCTCCACCTAAGCCTGAAACAATGACAGGGTGGTGCAGCTCTGTGCTGAAAAGGGCCGATTCCTCGGGTGATCAGGCCTAAGAAAGAATATGTAAATTACTGTGAAACCTGCTTTGTTTAGAATGCTCTCAGTTGAATGAGAAGGGTCCTAGGAGGAAGTCTTACAGCTCTTTTACCCCGACTCAAAATAGACCCTCAGACTTCCTTGTTTTCTATGGTTCCTTACTTCCCCCAATGAGTACTATACTTTACCTGAATTATTATGCAAAATGAGCCCAATAAAAGCAGGTATGGACGGTAAATCGGGGCGCTCCCCACTAGAGGGGGTGGCCATTCCACCCCTACTTCTCCACAGAAACTAGTTTGTCTCTGTGCATGTTTTTTCTCGCGTGTTTTTGTCGAGCCATCCGCAGCGTTCCGTGATCACTGCTGGCTGGTGACCCATGCATCACATTTCAGTTTCTCCCAGAGTGCCATTCTGGAAAAAATGTCTCCATAATCGATTCCAGAGTTCTGTAAATAAAACATGGAATGTTTCTAAAGGGTATGAATGATGCCTGAGGAAACTGGGTATTTTTCTGATGGCTTATCAAGTAACATAAAAAATTTATAATTTTCCAGGGAAAGTGAAAAAAGCTTGAAACTTAGGAATCTCTTTTGGTTCAAAAAACACATGCAAGGCCATTGTAGTGGGGTCCCTGGGTTTACTCCTCATCTTTAGCAAGCTGATGCAGATTGCTCCTGTTAGAGATAATATTTATATCAATAAGATAAAAAATACTACTCATGACAGTCGGAAACAGCTTTTAAAAGAAATATTGTGATAGCAAAACTTGGAAGTTAAAGGGCATTTTCTAAAAGTGATATCTGTAGAGAATTAAGGTAAAAGAATGAGGCCGGAACCATAGCTCAGGAGCAGAAGAGAGCAAATCCTGCTGACCTCCAGTGGCAGGGACAATGGTATGGCCTTAGCCAAGAAAGTCACCTTCATTCATCTGCATCCAGCAGGATTATAGTCCTTATTCCCACCATCCCACATCCTGTCTACCATGTTTATATCCTCTTAAGATAGTAAATTGATGATGGATGAATCTTATCTCAACCACTTACTAACTTTACCATCTTAAACAAGTTTTTTTTAACTCTCTGTGCTTCAGTTTCTTCTGTAACTTAGAATAATAAAAATGAAACCTACCTAAGGTAAACTGTGCTCACCTCTTCCTATGACCACATGAAAACTATGACTAAAGTATAGAACAACCCTTGGGAACCACCTGAAGACTAGCTAAACAGAAAGGAGGCACATCAAGACTGTCAAGAGAGGCACAAATGCAGAACAGGCTGGTTCCATACCCACATGTGGTGATTAAGAATTGAGAAGGATATCTCAGCCATGAAGATCTATACTTAGGGGTCCCAGGCTCACAACAGGCTCCCCAGCCTCAAGCACCAGTGCCAGGAAGAGGAGTCCCCACAACATCTGTCTGTGAAAACCAGCAGGGTTTCCATCCAAATGATACACAGGGCTCCTGTTTTTTATAAGTAGAAAATATATGAAATATTTATTTCCAAATTTTAGGTTTTGCATTTAAATTCAACTTTAAAAATTCAATCATATTTGCAATTAGTTGGTTTATTGTGTGGTTTTTTTTAGACTTCAAGAAAAAAATTACTTTTCAGGTTAAAAAATTCATCTGCTCTGGAACCCAGGTATCCTCTTAAATGACCTGAGCACAAAATCATTTGCTCACAACTTGTCCTAAACTCCAGTGAAGGAACAGCATCTTGAAAAGCACCAGGAGCAAATGGGAGGAACTGAATTGACTGGCTTTGGGGTGAGGGCTGAAGGGGTAGCTCTCTCCTAAACAGAAGAGCCAGCAGGCACCATTGTTCTTTTGTCGAGCCCTCCCCATACCCAGCCTTCAGGCAGAGGTAGGCACCACATTTGGTCTCCATCAACCTGGCTAACTCCAATTGCCCCTGCTGGGTGACTCATTGAAACCCTACCCCAATGAACTTTCTTTGAGTATTTCCCTCTTTCAATAGATGTTCATGAGTGGCCAGGTTCAGCCTGAGCTGTGGACCTTCCTAAAATATCTCCAAGATTTACAACCCAAAACAAGCAGTGGCTGTCTTCTTCACGCCCTGCACCTCTTGTTAAGCAGCCCCAAGTCCACCATGAGTGACTGTCACACTTGGTTCACAGCATAACCACTTCCAGATGCCTCCAAGCCCACAGAAGGAGCTACCAGCCACAGATCATTTTGTAGTAGCTCCTACCAGGCAGCCTTGGGCCAGGCAGGCAGCATCTGACTTTAGCCAGCACTAAAGCACCTCTCAAGAGACCCCAGAAACAACATACCTGGTGACCACCTTCAAACCACACCAGAGCACCACGAAATTAGCTCCACAAGTGATGCACCAAAAGGGTGGACTCAGTAGACAAAAGAGCCCCACAAAAGTGAACACTCCTCTATCAGGTCAGCCCCCACACAATAAATTGCCTGCTGTAGTGCTGGCCAGCCCTCACACCCAGCCAGCCCAAGGGTCAATACTACACCCTGATGTGCTAACAAAAATCAGGATTATACTACAACGGGAGGGCACACACAAGGGACAGTCCCAGAATACCCATTTCAAATGACCAAGGAGACTGTGCCACTGGGCCCTGTAAGACACCTACTATATAAGGTAACCCTCCCAAGACTGGGTGATGTACAGCGTCTACCTAATACATAAAAACAAACACAGGAGGCAGTCAAAATGAGGAGAAAAAGAAATATGTCCTGAATTAAACAAGACAACATTCCAGAAAAAGAACTAAACTAAATGAAAGCAAACAATCTACCAAGTACAGAGTTTAAAACACTGGTTATAAAGATGTTCAATAAACTTAGAGAAAGAACAGATGACTTCAGTAAGAGATTCAGTAAGAATCTCTTATACAAAGAGATATAAACCATAAAAAAGAACCAATCAGAAATAAAGAATACATTATATGGAGTCAACAGCATGTTAAATAAAGCAGAGAACCAAACCAGTGATTTGGAAGAAAAAGTAGTAGAAAACACCCAATAAGAAAAACAAAAGAAGAATTTTTTTAAAATAAGGATAGTTTAAGGAATCTCTGGGACAATATCAAGCATATGTTTGCATCATAACGGTGTGAGAAGGAAAGAGAGAGAACATGGGATTAAAACTCTATTTGAAAAAATAATGACTGAAAACTGTCCTAATCTGGCAAAGGAAATAAACATACAAATCCAGAAAGTTCAGAGTCCCAAAAATGGTGATCCTAGAAGGGTCCACACCAAGACACACCTCAATTAAAATACCATGGTTAAAAAGAAAAGAGAGAATCTCAAAAACAGTACAAGAAAAGTAGATGCACACAAGGAAGCTCCCACAAGACTGTCAGCTGATTTCTCAACAGAAGTATTACAAACTAGGAGGAACTGGCATGAAATAATCAAAGTGATAATAAGCAAGGACCTACAATCAAGATTATTCTACCAGACAACACTATCACTAGAATCAAAGGAGAGATAAAGAGATTCCCAGAGAAGAAAAAGGTAAAGAAGTCCATCACCACCAAACCAGTATTATAGAAAACATTAAAGAGACTTCTCTAAAAAGAAGAAGCAGATTATCCAGACAGAAATATCCATAAGGAAACACTGGCCTTAAATATCACATTAGACCAGATGGATTACTTGATATTTGTGAAACATTATACACTAAGGCAGCAGGATATACATCTCCTTCAAACACACTTAGAACATTCTCCAGGATAGACCACATATTAGGACACAAAACAAGTCTCAATACATTAAAATATTGAAATCATATCAAGCATCAGACCACAATGGTATGGAACTAGAAATCAATTATAAGAAAAAAAAACTGGAAAACCCATAAGAACATCCTATTAACAAATGAATGGATTAACAAGATCAACAAAACTGAAAAAATATCTTGAGATGAACAAGAATGAAAGGACAAATGACCCTCAAATATGTGGGATGTGGCCAAAGCAGTTCCAAGAAGGAAATTCATAGCAATACAGGCCTACCTCAAGAATCAAGAAAAATATCAAATAAACAATCTAACTTCACACCTAAAGGAACAAGAGAAAAAAGAACAAACAAAGCCCAAAGTGAGTAGAAGCAAGAATAAAAAAAATTGGGGCAGAAGTAAACAAATAACAAAGATCAATAAACAAAGAGCTTGTTCTTTGAAAAGATAAACAAAATTGATAAACCTTAAACCAGACTCATCAAGGAAAAAAGAGAAGACTCAAGTAAATAAAATCAGAAATGAAAGCAAAGCAGCAACTGACACTACCAAAACACAGAGGAATATAAGAAAATACTATAAATAATTATATGCCAAGGAGTTGGATAATCTGGAAGAAATGGGTAAATTTTTACAAACATACAATCTTCTAAGACTAACCTAAACTAAGAAGCAGAAAATATGAACAGATCAGTCAGTAATCAAAAAATTTCCAACAGCCCTGGGTGTTGTGGCTCAGTGGACTGAGAGCCAGACTGCAAAGTAAAGGGTCACTGGTTTGATTCCCAGTCAGGGCACATGTCTGGGTTGCAGGCCATGTCCCCAGTGAAGGGCACGTGAGAGCCAAGCATACATTGATGTTTCTCTCCCTTTCTCTCTCCCCCCTTTCCCCTCTCTCTAATAATAAAGAAATAAAATCTTAAAAAAAAACTTCAAAAAAACAGAAGTCCTGAACCAGATAGAATCACTGGTAAATTTCACCAAGCATTCAATGAAGAATTACCACCTATCCTTCTCAAGTTAATCCAAAAATTCAAGAGGAAAGGAAATTCCCAACCTCATTTTATGAAGTCAACATTATCCTGATTCCTGATTCTTATAGTGATAAAGACACTATAAGAAGGAAGAAAAAAAAAAAGGAAATCATAGGCCAATATCCTTGAAGAATATAGATGCAAAAATTCTCAACAAAATATTAGCAAACTGAATTCAGCAATACATTAAAAAGAGTATAACCTTGGCTGGTGTAGCTCAGTGGATTGAGTGTGGGCCTGCAAAGGGTTGCCAGTTTGATTCCCATTCAGGGCACATGCCTGGGTTGTGGGCCAGGCCCCCTGTGTGGGGCGTGCAAGAGGCAACCACACATTGATGTTTCTTTCCCTCTATTTCTCCTTTCCTTCCTCTCTCTCTAAAAATAAATAAATAAAATCTTAAAAAAAGAAAGAAAGAAAGAAAGAAAAGAGAACCTAGAAATAAACCCACACCTATATGGTCAATTAATCCATAACAAAGCAGGCAAGAATATAAAATAAGGTAAAGACAGTATCTTCAATAAATAGTGTTGGGAAAACTAGACAGACATGCAAAAGAATATACAAGAATAAATTCAAAATGGATTAAAGACTTGAATGTAAGACTAGAAACCATAAAAATCCTAGCAGGAAACATAGGCACTAAGTTCTTTGACATTGCTCTTAGTAAGATATATATATATATATATTTAGTTCATCTCCTTGGGCAAGGGAAACAAAATAAAAATAAATGGGACTATATCAAATGAAAGAGTTTTTGCACAGTGAAGGAAACCATCAACAAAATGAAAAGACAACCTACTAAGTGGGAGAAGTTATTTGCCAATGGTACATCTAATAAGGAATTAATATCCAAAATACATAAAGAACTCACACATTTTAACACCAACCCCCCCTCCAAACAATCTGATTAAAAAATGGGCAGAGGACCTGAATAGACACTTTTCCAAAGAGGATATATAGATGGCCAATGGACATATGAAAAGATGTTCAACATCACTAATCCTCAGGAAATGCAAATTAAAACCATAATAAGATATCACCTCACATTTCTCAGAATAGCTATCATCAATAAGTCAGCAAATAACAAGTGCTGGCAAAGATGTGGAGAAAAAGGAACAGTTATGCACTCTTGGTGGTTTTGCAAATTGGTGCAGCAACTATAGAAAACAACACAGAGATTTGCCAAAAAATTAAAAATAGAACTACCAAATGACACAGCAATTCCACTTCTGGGTTTTTATTCAAAGAGATACAGAACATTAATTTGAAAAGATATATGCACCCCTATGTACATTGCAGCATTTTTTAGTACAGTTAAAATATGAAAGCAACTTAAGTGTCCATCAATAGAAGAATGGATAAAGAGGATAGAGTACATATATACATTGGAATATTATTTAGCCATACATAAGAATGAAATCTTGCTATTTGTGACAACATGAGTGGACATAAAGGGAATTATGCTAAGTAAAATAAGTCTGACAGTGATAGGCAAATATCATATTATTCCACTTATACATGGAATCTAAAAAACAAAATAAATCAACAAAAAAATATGAATAAACTCATAGATACAGAGAACAAACCAATGGTTACCAGATAGGGGTGTATGGACTTGGTGAAAAAGGTGAAGGGATTAAGAAGTAAAAATTACCAGTTACAAAATAGTCACAGGGATGTAAAGTACAGCACAGGGAATATAGTCAATAATACTGCAGCAACTATGTACAGTGCCAGGTGGGTGCTAGACTTATCCAGGGAACACTTTTTATGTTATACAAATGTTTAAGCACTACTCTGTACACCTAAACTAATATAATATTGAATGTCAACTGCAATTTAAAAATAAATAAATACATAAAATAAAAAATAAACCTACCTTATAGGTCTGTTGTGGTGACTGAGTGCCTAGAACATGGTATTGCCACATAAATGTTGTGTCATTATCATCACACCGTCTTGACTTTACCCCTATTTTTTTAGGGCTGGCGTGGCACTTTTGTTGTATCTCCTCCCATTTCCCACCACTACCATACCTCCTCCTCCTTTCTTCTTCCCTGCTCCATTCAGTTCCATGACAAACCTGGAGAGGTATGTTCAGGCCAAGTAAACCATGTGTTTTTACTCATCCATCCAGATTTTGGCCACTCTGACAACATTGTACTTCAAAGAAGAAATCAGATCCAAGGCATAGGGCCTGTGGTGTCTCTCTAGGTGAGCGATCCGAGAGCAGGGCAAGACCTCAGTTTTTCCTCCACACTGCCACACCTGCAAGAGAAGAGGAAAAAAGCATCTGGACAAGCTTGATCCCATGGCCAATAAGTGGCATGGCTTACTGATGCACAGAGACAAACATTTTAGAACCATTTCTAAAAGGATGTAAATTTAGTCCTCCCACTCCCATCACTATGTCGCCTCCTGGCTCACTTGCCTAAAACACCTCCCTTAGAACTTTGCCAAACTTCTCTCCTGTCATTCAGACAGTTCCAGAAATCCTGCCCTCTGCCACAAGTCTTCCTGAACAAACCAAAAAAAGTTCTGTCCCTGTTCTTTTATTCCCAAGGAAAGTGCTAGTGTCCTGAGAGGGGACATGCCCTGAGCTAATCTGACTATAGTTAGCGTCCCAGGGCCCCTCCGCATGCGAGATATAAGGTGACGGGCAGGACAGACTCTCAGGTGGCCCCCTGATCCCTGCCTCCTGGTCTTCACATGAGTGGTGATCTTCTTCTAACCAATAGGATATGGCAAACATGATAGTATGTACATGATTGCATGTGTGTAATTACATTACATAAGATTATAGTGTCCATCTTGCTAAGAGATGCACTCTTGCTGGCTTTCAAGAAGCAAGCCACCATGCTGTGAGCAACAATATGGAAAGTATAAGAAATGAAGGGTACCTTCTAAATGATAGCCAGCCAAAACCTGAATGCCTCGTTGGTCTGGGTGATTTCACAGAACTGAACGCTGCTAACATGAGCCCAGAAGCAGATGCTTCTTCAGTCAGTCCTAGATGAGAACCCAGCCCTGGCCAACAACTTGCCTGCAACCTTGCAGAGGATACAGCTCAGCCAGGAATGAACTCCTGAGCCACATGAACTGAGAGATAGTAAGTATGTATTGCTTTAAGTCACTAAGTTTGTGATATAATTACACAGCAACAGACAACTAATACAGGCAATTCTTGACTAAGAGATACCATGACTTATGATATAACTATAAATATTTTTTTCTCATCCTGATGAGTACAGACATGCTCGTCAGACCACACAGTCTAATATTTGGCTTAAAAATATGGTTTTTCTCCTGGTAGATGGTTAAACTATCTAATGCTATGGGATTGATGCAATGGCCCCAGTGTCTTCTCTTCATGGTTGCCCAAATGAGTTGTAATTTCAAGGAGATATTAGCCTATTTGGCAGCAGTTGGCAACCTACTACATTCATGCCTGTGGAGCCCCTGAGGTACAGTGAGCGACTTCAGTCCTGCTGGTTCACTGAAGCACGTGAGGACCCAGGCCCCTTATCTGACTTCAATGTTTTTCCTCCCTTCTTCAGCTTCTGAAACCACAGATTCCCTTCCCTTGCCTCTTGAAAAAAAAGCCGAGCTCTAAAGTCAGACTGACCTGTGTTCAAATCTGTCACTGCACACCCTATGACTCGGAGTAAAACACTCCTCATGATGAGCACAGCCACCATGTGGGTTGTCAGGTGGACTAAATGACTGACAGAGCACGTGCTCAGGGAACAGCAGCATCTATGATTAATTCGAAGCACCTCTTCTTCCATTTCTCCTCGTTAGTTTCCAGGACCATGTGGAAGTTACAGCTAACTTGTTTTCAGATTTTATATTCTGTAGCCAAACATTTAAAAGCCCAAATACAACTTCAATTTTTCTAGTTAGAGGAGTTTTCCAAACAACAGGAATTTCCAAGAAAAATTAACCATTGGTACAAAAAAGCTCAAATTCAAGTGAAAAGACAAAAGTCTGAATTGATATTTATTAAGTAATATTACTGTTATCCTAGACCAACACTTTTCAAAGTTTATTCCCTCAGTTTATTCCCACTTGCCAAACAACTCCCCTTCTTTCTGTCGACACACACAGACAGACATGAAGCTTCTGCTTATAATACCAATGGCTTAATTTGTGCCACATACTATCCTAGTATTTTTCATAAATTTCACCTTCACTGTGTAGGTACTATTATTATTATTATTATTATTATTATTATTATTATTATTATCCCCACTTAAGTAACTTGCCCATGTGTACTAGTGGGCAGATGACAGAGCTGGATTTGACGTTCTGGCAGTCCAGTCCACATGTTCAGTTCTGGCACAGCACCAGGAATTCACAAGGTGCTTGACAAATGTTAGTTTTACATTTTTGCCCATCAGCCCCATTGCTCCATCTCCATTTATACTCATCCATTCACAACATCACTGCCATGGCCTCTAGATGTCAGAATAAAACACTCCATGCAGCTCTGATGTTGTCCAAGTTCTGTTATTGGGGAACACAGATCCTAACAAGTGCTTAGAGATTTTGAAAGACAAATGACCATACACATAAACCCAGGAATCTGAATGTGGGTAAACTATTTTACCCAAGAATAGCAAAAGAATGACCCTTCCCTGACACTCCCCACTTTTCCAGAAAAAAAAATATTTTCAAAAATCACGAAATGTTAAAAGAAAGAAGACTTCTGTAGGAACTGAAATGGCAGAGTTTGACATGTGGGACAGGGGAATGGAAACAGAGAGAAGCAGTCTGAATGCAGAAAAGGAGAGCAGAGGAAAGGACAAGGAACACAGAAATGGGAAGAAGGGCTCTGGGTCCTAAGTTGGGAATTGGGGTTCCAGTCAAATTCATGGGAAGCTCTGGTGGATAGGAATACCCCAGCCACAACATAACTAGGGTTGTCTTCAAGACTCTGCTAAGTACCATGCATAAAATAATTATTTTTGCATTTGTATTTTTTGTGCTAGAGACTAGTAGTACTCCCAATATCTATTCCCCCGTACATCTGTAGTCATCAAAGGAATAACTGGACACATAACCAACTAACTTGAAATCTATGTTTCCCAGCCTCATTTGCATATAGATGTGGCCATATGACCAGTAGTGGCCAATGAAATACAATACACACAACTTGCATGTAGAGCCTTAAAAAATGACATACTCTTTCTTTCTTCCCCCTTCTCTCTTCCTATTAACTAGAACATAGGTGTGATGTTGAGTGTGACAGAATCACAAGGTGGGACAGTCTTGGACTCCATCACCTTGGGGCTGCCATCTCAGTCCTGCACTACAGATGTTCAAACAGTTATGGAAGAGAGAAATTAATTTCTACCTTGTTTAAACCTCTGTTATTTTGGAATCTGTTCCAGAAGCCAAACAAGAATTCTAATTAATTTCTTAATAAAATCAAGTCAAACTATTCATTATATTTTAACTGTACAATAACTCTCATGGGATAGTTAAAACAAAGACACTCCTCTTCAGTTCAGAAATAGGAAAGCTGATCAAGACCACAAGTAAAAAGTAGTTCTCTTTGCCAAAAAATGGTTGTGGCTTCATGGACAACCCAGACAGGGACTCAAACTTTATTTGTTAATATATAAATGTGGGGTCCTGCTTGGGTCCTAAGTAGGTGCAACATGTGGTCATCAGCCTCAGTTGGAAAGAAACTGAAGGGCGTAGGCCAGAATAAGGTTTAGACAGAAAATTATCTTGTTTCTCCAGGAACCACAATGGACCAGAGGTCATCTGGTCTCAGGCACAGAATTTTGGAGCTGGGAAGGTGGGGGGAGCCATTTTATAGAAGCTCAGTCCACACAGAGTTAGGAGAGCCAGGATTAGAACCTAGGTCCAGCATTTTTTACACCACCATCCTGACATTTTTATTATTAACTATTGATCAAGCAGAAGCCATGTGTCATTCATCATGCTAAGTTTGCTTTTTTAATTAATTTCAGACAGAGAAAGAGAAAGAAAAACATCAACTGGTTATTCCACTTACTTATGCATTCATTGTTTGTTTCTTGTATGTACCCTAATTGGAGATCAAACCCACAACCTTTGTGTTTCAGGATGATGCTCCAATCAAGTGACATACCCAGCCTGAGCCTCATGCTAGGTTCTTTATGTAGCAAGTATGGCTTAGAGAATTTGTATATTTCCCAGGATAACACAATCTTTCTAGAGGAAAAGTAAGACTTAATATTTGGGAGTCCAATACCTGTGAAATTGTCACTACTTTTATGCAACCTCTTTTAAAAGTTCAGCCTTAGGCCCTGGCTGGGTGGCTCAGTTGGTTGGAGTGTTGTTCCATGCACTAAAATTTGGGGGTTTGATCCCTAGTCAGGGCACATACCTAGGTTTCAGTTTCAGTCCCCAGTCAGGGCATGTATGGAAGGCAATCAATCAAAGTATCTCTCCTTCTCTCTCTTTCACTCCCTCACCCCCACCTTGCTTTCTCTAAAATCAAGAAACATATCCTTGGGTGAAAATTTTTTTTAAAAAGTTCAGCTTTAGGCTGGAAATGAAAGAGGGGTAAACTAACAAGAACAGCCACAAACCCAAGAGTAGGGCCTTTTTAAAAAAGGCCTGTAGATTGTACAGAAGAGGCAAAACAATACTGTGGAAGGAATATGTTATACATAGAACCTCTTCCAAACTGATCATGATGGGTTGAACATATTGGCCATAGTTTTTCATGGCTTCATTGTAGATAGAAGACATCTCCCACCCATTGACTTTGGGCTTAGCTGTCACAAATTTGATAGGGCAGAAAAAATAATGCACTAGTTCCAAACTGAGACCTTAAGAGCCCCATCAAACTCCAGCTGGACCTGCAGATCTCTGAACGTAAATTATTGTTTTCTTAAGTCACTGAGTTTAGGGTGTTTGGTTACCCAGCATCTTTGTGGCAATAGCTTACTGATACACTGAGGTAATATGAACTTGCACTTGTCATTTCTCCAATCATTTTAATTTGTACCCTGAATTCCCTTATAAAGCACAATAATTCAGGATGTTCATTTGATCTGAGAAAGCATGAGAAGCTGTCAGGCAGAGAAGAGGCATCACTGCTGAAGTGAGAAGCCAGTGCACAAAAAGTTGGTCAGAACTAGAAGTGGTTTGAGGATTCTATTGCTGTAGAACCCATAGAACCCATCACTGGCTGTTTGTCCTAGTCTAGACTACATCTCAGCATGAATGCATGTCATCATGTCAGTTGCTCTAGCTGTCCATTCAGGAACAATTTTCATTGCCCACATATCTGTATCCTCTGGTCCCTCTGCCCAGTTTCTTTTTGGTTTTATAGAGCGCTGTCTGCCACCAAGTTGTTTTATTCTAGGAGACGCTGGAAAAATGCCTGGATTCCTCAAAGGAAATAGGGACACCATCTGCTGAGCCTCAGTTCTACCCCTTCCCACCCATGTTTCCCAGATTACATAGACCTACACCAAAGAACTCCACTCCCCAAGTCCCATTGCCTCTCTCTAGTGACCTAGAAACATGAGGATTTGCCACCTCTTGAGCCAATGACATTCAGCCTTATTCCAGGATTCTGGCAATCTTATCACCCTCCTTTATGTCTCTCTGCTTTGTCCCATAAAAAGAATAGAAATGTACCCACCCTCAGGCTAAGTTCCACACTTTCTCCTCCATAGACCAGCAACCTACCATCTACAGATCCAGTCTTTCCCAGGAAGAACTTGTTGGCAGTCAGGATGCCCATGAAGGAAGGACTCCTGTGGAGCACAAAAAAGAGTTACTAACCTCTCAGTAATGCATGAGTTAGGATGGAAGGAAGTAAGGGTAGGAAGCCAGTGGTGGTTTGGCCTTTGAAATGACCCAAGCCCCTTATCTGTAGGCTTTCCCTAAACCCTCCAGATGGACTAAGTGTGCATAGCCTTTCTTCATTCTTTGTTGTTGTCATAAACTTTCTCAAACTTTACTAAAAGTACATCTTTTTCATCTTGGTATCCCTACTTTATAGCCTGATAAATGCTTTAAATGGCCCATATGTCTTCTAAAACATTATAAAATTTGCTTTACTTTACTTGAAAGCCCTAAAATAGTCCTAAGAGTCTGCGATCTCTTACCTGGCATCATCTTTTTTTCATTTTAATTTTCACTTGTATTTTGTCATCCCCTGTCCCTAATCCCTCCCACCCTTCTTCCATAACCACCACCACACACCATATGCCTGACTTCCCATGTGCTAACCAAGTTCCTGAGCCCTCTCAGACTTGCTTCAATGGAGCAGTGACATCATTCAGATCAACCCAGGCCTTTGGAAATAAATCATAGTGGCACCAGAGTTCCCAATTAAACCCATCAACTGCCAATTCATATTTAGTCAGTTCAAAGGTGTCAAAATGAATGTCATCAAACACAGGTGACACAATGACATTATGGTCTTCCTGAATCTGAGCCAAGATGGGCTCTGCTCTAGAAGAAGAGTGGGTAACACACCCAGGTTGGATATGAGGGTAAGAAGCAGAAGCAAGCAGACAAAGCTGGCCCAAGCACCTTGCCCTGACCTTGAGCACTTTCTTCATTTAGGCTGTGCTGGGTGGTGAGAGGAACTCTCCAGAGTCCAGAAGAGCTATGCAGTTTTGGGGATAGCTGGGGATGTTAGACACTGACCCATGTCATAAGCATATTTGAAATTAGCACCCAAACACTACCCCCAAGCCACTGAGAACCAGGACCATCACTATTCTGTCAGAATTTACATTATCTCTTTTGTCTCCCTGTTTCCAAAATGATGTCTCTTTACTATCTGATTTCCTTCATTCTCCAAAGAACACAGCTGTCTTTGTAGCATGTAATTTTGGGTCTGGGAAAACCTTAGGAATTACAAAAAGATAATCTTTTCATTTTACAGATAAGGACATGAATATCAAGTTAGGTAAAGTGATGTATAAAAAGTCACAAAGTATTTGGTAAAATCAGGGTTGGGATCAGTGTCAACAGTGAAAACCATTGTTTTTGTTTCTACAGCACTAGATTACTATCCTTAGCCAAACAAAATCCTTGAGTAAAAGCATCCCATCTTAGTAGCTGCCCTTTGTTTAAGGTCTGGTGTTGGCTTTCCCTATTTCCATACTACCCTATCTTGCATATAGCATGTTCAATATCTCCTTTCTCCCCTTTTTCAGGGGAAGAAACCTCCTGGAGCCTTACCAGCCAACATTCACTTCAACATGAGTATCCAAGATGGCAACCACATCAGCCATGGCCACTTCCCAGCCAGTGTGGCGTGTTTGAGCAAGACCTTTTCTCCTTGTGTGCTGGACTATTTTCAGTAGTCATGGATACTTCTGGTTGTAAAGCTTAATACTCTTGTCCAAGTTTGCCTTTAGTTCTCCTGCCAACGAAACACACACCTATAGAAATTCTGAGTGCAATAATCAATTTGGTACAGAAAGTTTATACTATTCTACATATAGTAGTGGTTTAACTACCTCCAGCTTAGGATGAGCAATTCTACAGCCTCAGTTGTTTCCCCTGCAACTGCCTCTCCTCCCTTCCGTTTTCAGGCGTACCGCTACCATTTTTAATCTCCTTTCCCTCAAAGTTAAACTACCTTAAATAATAATACTGCTTACTATTTGCCAAACAGTATATACAAGCTTTATGTATATTGAGAAATTTTAACAAGAATGAGTAGGAAAGACCTGACCTAAGTAAGGTAGAAGTGTTGATGGTCAGACATTGCAGACAGCTTGCCACATCTCTCCAACAACACTCAAGATTTTCCAGAGAAAACATAAACAACTGAAATTGTTTTGTCATGTGTTAGCTATTCATACTTGGCCTACTCAAGGACCAACAGGGACAAAATGCCCAAATTGAACTCTTTTCCAACCTCTAGGTAATGAATTTATCTCCCAAATTATGCAAATAAGATTTGCTATTCCCAGGTTGCTTACAGCTATTTTCTTCCCTCTCTCTCCTCCCTTTATAAAGCCTGTCTATGCATTTGTTCTTTGGCTAAACCTACTTATTGAATTTCTCATATGTATGAAAACAACTTGGATGTAAATCACTAAGCAGGGTTTAAAATATCCAACCAAATAACTCCCTGACAATATTAATTCATTTAATTCTCAAAGAATCCTATGAGAAAGACACTTCTGTATCCCCACTTTGCAGATGCAAAAACTGACTCACAGAGAGGTTAAGAAACTTGTTTAAGTCATACATCTAGTAAGTGGCACACCTAGGTGTGGGCCCATGTTATGTTTACCCACCATGCCATGCTGCCTCATGAATTATGTATATGTTTGGTTGGGTTTGTCTGTTGCGCATGGGTCACCGGCCAGCAGTGACCACGGAACGCTGTGGATGGCTCGCCGAAACACACGCGAGAAAGAACAACACATGCACAGAGACAAACTAGTTTCTGTGGGGAAGTAGGGACAGAATGGCCACCCCCCCTAGTGGGGAGAGCGCTGATTTACCATCCATACCTGCTTTTATTAGGCTCATTTTGCATAATAATTCAGGTAAAGTACAGTACTCATTAGGGGAAGTAAGGAACTATAGAAAACAAAGAACTCTGCCAGTCTATTGAGTTGGGGGTTCAAAGAGCTGTAAGACTGAGGAACAAAATAACTTCCTCCTAAGACCCTTCTCATTCAACTGAGAGCATTCTAAACAAAGAAGGTTTCACAGTAATTTACATATTCTTTCTTAGGCCTGATCACCATGGGAAATCCGCACTTCTCAGTACCGAGCTGCACCACCCTGTCATTGTTTCAGGCTTAGGTGGAGCAAGGGAACTAGGTAACCAAGAGATAAGGAGATTTTTTCCCAGATGCTGAGAACTCAGGCTATGTCAAAGCCGAGGAGCGAGGTCCATCACCCCCCTTTTGCTGCAGCCCCCCCCCCAAGTCCTTCTTTTGGGGGCCTCCCAAAGTGATCGTGCCTGGCTTAGGTCGTTCCCCCCGTGGGGAATCTTACCCGTCTTTGGCTAACCGACCAAGCTTTTTGGGGTTCAGTTATGAATAAAGCAGCAGAAGCAGCATTCCTGCCAGGAAGATAAGCTTTTATCTCCTTGCCGGCTTACGGTTCCAAGGGCGTTCCCTTAGCCTTAGCTAGGTGGGGGTTTCAGCCTCTGATACCAGTCAGGGCGGTTCCCAACATTTGTCAAGATTTCCCTTCATCTCTCTCCCTGACTCCCACCCCCCATTGCCAAGATATGAGATTCTTTCTGGTTCCTTTCTCACAGGAAGAGTAGATTTGTGACTCCTGGAGTGGTCAGGACCTGGAATCAAAACTGACATGACTATGGTACTAAAATTTTTACCTGTTTTAGAACTTTCCCTGTTGCACTCCAGGGTTACTGACTCAACTATTGAAGGTGTTACAGAGACCCAATGGGCCTGGAGAATGTTTGCTCCTACTGAAAGAAAGAGAAGGTGGAAACTCCATGCATTCACTCAGTCACTACTTTTAGAGAGTAATCAGAAGGGGTTGACACATTTTTTCCTTCCTCTGCTGCCACCATAGCATCTGTGAAAGGGCTTTCAGCAAAACAGGGCAAAAACAAAGGAGCAGGTTCTGGAGTTCACCTTTGACTGCTCCCACCCTGCAGGAGATGGAATCATGAATTCTGCCCATTTGGAACAATTTCTTCAGGAAAGAATTCACTTCAGGAAAGTGAATAGAAAAGCTGGGATTCTCAGTGGAGGTTGTACATCTATTAAAAGGAGCAAGACCAAGATTACCGTAATATATGAGGTTCCTTTTTCCAAAAAAAAAATTGAAGAATAATCTGTTTGATTGGTTACATGTAGCTGCAAATAGTGAAGAGATTAGGAATTATGTTAGTGCCAGATAAACCAAGATGAAAGAAAGAAGAAAGATGTGGATCAAAACTCATCTACCTGGAATATTTTGCATGAGTTCTCGAATTAAAGTTGGAAACCAAAATAGTTGTGGGCAAGGGGAGAAGGAAAGGAAATGAAAGAAGAGAGGAAAGGAGTGGAGGGGAGAAGAGAGAATGAAAAAGAAAAAAAGAAAAGAAAAGAAGAAAAGAGGAGGGATTACCATAGACCCTGGGTATCTAGACTGTAATTTGCACTCCCTCACCCTCTAATTCTGTGTCACTTACCATTTGAGGATCTCTGTTTCCAAAACTCAGAGAAGGCTGGATAACATGTCAGTATCCTTCTAATTCCAAAATTCTATGAGTTGTAGATTCTGAGTCACCCCATCAGAAATAGTGCCTATAGTCCAACACATGAATTAAAGATGCTCTATGGATCTTCTAAAGTAAACCTATGCTCCCTTCTCAGTCTTGCTCTCCAATTGGTACTGCCCCCACTACCACACCTCCCCCAGAATCTTTTCTTTCAGGCTAGTCAACTCAGGGTGCTTCTAGCTTCTGCATCTTTGCTCACATTTTTTTTTCTCCACTCCCTATCTCCCCCTACCCACACGACCAGTCTCCCTTTGTTTTCTTTGCCTTTTCAAATCCTAGCAAATTTTCAAGTCCAAATCCAAGGCCCTCTCCTCCAGCAAGACTTCCTAGGTTATCCCAACCACTTCTGGGCTTTCTTGCACTCACTGACAACTTACTCAGTTTGACACACTACTTTTCATACACTGCGGTGTCTTCATATGTTTGTCTTACCTCATCAATTAAAGTGGGAACTTCTTAAATCACTGACATTCTCTTCCATTTCTAATGCCTGGCACATGGTAAAAATTCAAAAAATACTTGTTGATTGAGGAATTTGTCCAAAATTGGAGAGAAAATACAGGATTCTACCTACATTAAATTAATTTCTGAAAAACTTAGGTTAGCTCTGTTGACACTTGAAACATTCGACCTGATGCAAATTAAGCTTTACATCTAGGGAAAAATAGGAAGGAGATATACCTATAATACCAGGTTGTGGCATTGCAACAGTTCTACAAATGATACTGAGATAAACAAGGAGTAATAATGCTAGCTAACATTTACTGGGAGCAAGCCCTGTTCTAAGGATATTACATGTACTATTTAATCCCTAGAATAGTCCTATCAAGAAGGCACTATTATTTCCCCCATGTCACGGATGAGGAAAAGGGGGCATAAAGTAGCTGAGTGACTTACCCTCAAAGTCACATGAATAGTAAGTTTCTCTTGTGGCATGCAAGGAACAGACTTCCAATTAATTTTCTCAGTTAATACAAAACAGATTTTTGAGTTATGTTAAGTATAGGCTTAATCTAGCCCATGCTTCCATGATTAATGAGAGAGAAGCTGATTTTTGTCCCAGTGACAACAGTCAAAGGATGATCAACAATTCTCTCTCTGTGCCCATCCAAATAAACTATCTCTATGGAAAACATAAATGAGTTCCCAACCCACATGAGAAGGAAATGTTATGTGATGCGGGCACAGTACAGAACAATAGAGAGCTTTGTTATGTGTCTATCCTATGTTTGTAGTCTTGTATCTTTTGATTTGATTGTTCCACATGAAAAAGTCTTGAATTATTTTTTTATCTGCTCCTCATAGAATGTGAGCTAATGGATTCACTGATTTTTTTTTCCATAGGAAAAGATACCTTCAGAGATCCTCCAGGTTAGCCCCGGCATTTGCCCCATGAAGAAGCAGAGTCCCAGAGAGATGAGGTGACTTGCCTCAGGTCATCTCAGAGGCAGACAGTGGAGCCAGGGTCTCTTCAGGTGTCCAGAACAGAAGTCTTTCTCGTTAAACTCCTCATTTTTGTTTGAAAACCAGATGTGCAAGTTTATGTTGATCTTCATCCCTAGAAATGAATGTAGTCAGCCATTCTCTTTTCTTTGCTTTTTGGTGGATTTTTTGCTTAGGAATTGTACCTTCTCATTTTTTTGTGAAATGATATTGGAAGGGGAAGAGAGGAAGGTATTAAAGCATGAAAAGGAGTGTTTTTAGTGTCTGGAAATCAAAAAGAGAAAATGTAAGAGGTAATTTGTCTCTTCTTCTCATGTCAAAAAATTTGAAGCTGCAATAACCTGTCTGGTACTTAAAGATGCTCAGAGAAGGAGCAACTATTCCTCCCCCAGGCTGCCATTCCACAACCCTTATTATTAGAAATGTCCTCCTTATTGCTAGCCCAAATCTCTGGGTTTGTAACTTAATCTGTTTCCTCTGTTTGATGCCCAAAATTAATAAAACTAAGAGCTAACACTTGCTGAGTGGGTACTATGTGCTAAATGCTATTCATAAACCATGTGCTGTATCAATGAACACAGCAGCTAGAGCTAGAGCTCTAGACGCTGAAGTTTATAGTCAAATCTCAGTTCTGTCATTTACCAGTGGTTTGATGTTAAACAAGTTCCTTGACCAGACTATGCCTTAGTTTTTTGCAACCATGAACTAAGCAAAGAAGTGGCTTCTTCCCCATAGGATTTTTGTAATGGTTAAGGTAGTTAACATAAGTAAGGTGCTTAGAACAAACCATGTTAGTTATGATTATTATCTCATTTAATTCTCATTACAATCTATGAAATAGTTTTTCATCAACATCCATGTTTTGCAAATAAGAAAACTGGAGGATGGAGAAGTTAAGTTACTCAAGAGCATAGAGCTTATAAAGGTGGAACTTGGATTCTGAAACCCCAGAAAGTGAGGGCTGAGGTTTACCCACTACATCCCAGTTCTCCATGTGTCCTCCTTGGGTGGGTTGGACCAGGCTGGGGAGGGAGCATGCTGTCAGCAAAAGACATTGCCACTGTAAAGAATTTCAGCATCCAAAGCTCCTCTTTTATCTGGGCTTAAATATGTGGGAAGATTGTTTTTTCCTCCTCAAAAGGAATGAATTGAATCCAATCTTAGTATCTGAGACTTCCCATTGGACCCAACTTTACTCCCTGAGGCCTCTCCCATGGTGCATAGACAGGGCACAGGTGGTTATGGAGTCACACAATCCTGGGCCTGGCTCAGCTCTACCACTGACTGGCCTCAAAATTTGGGCACACTATGTGTTCTGTCTGTCTTCATTTCCTCATCTATGCAATCACAATGATGATCCTCTGTGTTGACTTTGTGACGATTAATGTGCCCAATACAAACAGGAATCAATAAATGACTCCTTTCTTTTCCATATATGATGAGCCCAAAGTGTCCTAAACTCTATGCTAAAGCCCCTTTCCAGCCTAGCACAGTCAATAAATGGTCATTTTTACTACTATTCCTTGATCAAGCTGCTTACCATTTGAGCTAAAATCATCCATCAAGATGATCTCCTTCAGCAATCTTGAGGGGGTCCAGCTGACGGTACTGACAATGGCCCGTTGCACACTGGACAAAACTTCATTTGTGAATATGAGGATGAGAGTTTTGAGGGATATGTCTTCTGAAGACACCTATAAGAGACCATTTTCAATAACCAGTTTACTCTTTAAAATTACTTAAACATTACTATCCAATCTATTGCTTCACTATACATAATGTTATTGTATTAATCAACTCGCCATCTCCCCAGTCTCATTAGAATGGAAAACTCTCTCTTGCTCATTTTCTATTTATTTATCCCAAATGCTCCTGTTATGAGGACAAATCCATTTCTTTTTCATTAATCTTCAGTAGACATTTCCACTTGAACATTCAACATGCCCCAAAAGGAATTCCTATTTCTCCTCCATCCCCAAATTAGCTTCCTTGCCAGACACCTTCTTTCTGTCATTGCCACCACATTTTCCCTGTATTCTTAGACCTTCAGTCATTTTTGACACCACAACTTTCTACTTTACCACTACAGAAAGATAGCAAACTATCCAAATAATTGTGCTTGATGTGTTTTTAAATATCGTAGTTTACATTTATTAAATGCTTACCATATGCTAGGCACTGGCTTACTCTTTTTTAACATTTTTACTGACATACATTTCAAATATGATAAAATTTACCCATTAAAAGTATACAATTCAGTATTTTTAATAATATTCAGAGTTGACCAAACATCGCCACCAACCAATTTTTAGAACATTTTCATCACACTATAAAGAAACCTGATATCCATTTTCAGTCATTCTCTATTTCTCTCCAAGCCCCTTCCACTCCCATCCACCTCAGCCACAGGCAGCCACTGATTAGTGACTTACTTTCTATCTCTGTAGAATTGCCTATTCTGGGCTTTTTATATAAATGGAAATATACAATATGTGGTCTTTTGTGACTAGTTTCTTTCACTTGACATAAAGTTTTCAAGGTTCATCAATTTTACAGCATGTATCAGTACTTCATTGCTTTTTTATTGTCATAATATTTCATTGCATGAATATGCCACATTTATCCATTTATAAGTTATTGAACATAAGGATGTTTCCACTTTTGGCTGTTAATGCCATTGTGAACATTCTTAAACAAGTTTTTGAGTTGGCATGTTTCTATTTCACTTACATACATACCTAAGAGTGCAATTGCTAAATCATATGATAACTCTATGTTTAACATGTAGACCCTGAGAAGAAAGATTCATTTGATGTGAACCCGAAGCAGGAATTTACCTGCTGAGGTGGACTCCTCATGGTCAACTGAGGGCCCAAATTTTATAAATAATAGAGCCTAGTGGCCATTTGCTGACAGGCACTTCTTGCATACTCTGTACACTGGGAAGAACCTCAGACTGAACTCTCAGCTTCCGGCTTTCACACTATGCCCAGTGTGTTTACACCATCTGAGTCAACCACTGCAGGGAGGAAACTCTGGTTTAGTATTTCTGCCAACAAACTGGGACCTGGCTTACCCAATCAGAACTGCACAGTTTGGATACCTCATTCACATAAAATGGACCTAATTAAGAGTCTGGGCAAGGAACTTTTGCTATAAAAGACACTTGCCCTTTGTCTTAGTGGAACAAAATTTAGGTTGCTACATAAATGTGTCTCCTCGGCTGCAGTTCTTTTTTGCACAAATCAATGCTTTCTATTCTTGATTATAGTCTAAAATTAATTTTCTTTTACAAACAAATTGTTGAACTGCCATACTGTTTTCCAAAGTGGCTTACCATTTTACATTACTACCAATAACAAATGAGCATTGAAATTTCTCCACATCCTGGATGTTTGTCATTTCTGTCATTTTGATGATTGACATCCCAATGGGTGTGAAGTATTATCCCACTGTGATTTTGATTTCCATTTCTAAAATAACTAATGATATTGACCAACTTTTCATTGCTTGCTTGGCCATTTGCATTTTTTTTTCAGTCAGAATTTTTAATTTTATTTTTATTATTATTTTTTATTTTATTTTAATCATTGTTCAAATACAGTTTTTTCTCTTTTACTCCCAATCCAGCCCCCCTCCAATCCCTCCCCACTTCCCTCCCATTACCACCCTCCCCCTAGTTTTTGTCCATGTGTCCTTTAAATTTGTTCCCCTGAACCCTTCCCATTGTCCCCTGAAATTCCCTCTTCTCTCCCCTCTGGTCACCGTCAGCCTGTCCTCTATTTCAGTGTCTTTGGTTATATTTTGCTTGTTTCTTTGTTTTGTTGTTTAGGTTCCTGTTAAAGGTGAGATCATATGGTATTTGTCTTTCACTGCCTGGCTTGTTTTGCTTAGAATAATGTTTTCCAGCTCCATCCAAGCTGTTGCAAAGGGTAGGAGCTCCTTCTTTCTTTCTGCTGCATAGAATTCCATTGTGTAAATGTACCATAGTTTTTTGTTCCATTCATGTACTGATGGGCATCTTGGTTGCTTCCAGCATCTAGCTATTGTAAATTGTGCTGCTATGAACATTGGGATGCATAAGTTCTTTTGTATTGGTGTTTTAGTGTTCTTAGGATAGAGTCCCCAGCAGTGGAATTGCTGGGCCAAAAGACAGATCCATTTTTAGTTTTCTGAGGAAGTTCCATATTGCTTTCCATAGTGTTTGTACCAGTCCAGGGTCCCACCAACAGTGCACTAGGGACCCCTTTTCTCCATAACCTCTCCAACACTTGTTGTTTGTTGCTTTGTTTATGATGGCCATTCTGACTGGTGTGAAGTGGGATCTCATTGTGGTTTTAATTTGCATCTCTCTGATAGCTAGCAATATTGAACATTGTTTCATGTGTCTTTGGATTTTCTGTATGTCCTCCTTGGAGAAGTGACTGTTCAAGTCCTTTGTCCATTTTTTAATTGGATTCCTTGTCTTTTTAGAGTGTAGTAGTGTAAGTTCTTTATATATTTTGGAGATTAGACCCTTGTCTGAGGTATCATTGGCAAATATGTTTTCCCATACAGTTGATTCCCTTTTAATTTTGATACTGTTTTCTTTAGCTGTGCAGAAGCTTTTAATTTTGATGAGGTCCCATTTGTTTATTCTTTCCTTTATGTCCCTTGCTCTAGGGGACATGTTAGTAAAAAAGTTTCTGCATGAAATATCTGAGATTTTCCTATGTACGTTCTCCTCTAGGACTTTAATGGTGTCACGTTTTATATTTAAGTCTTTTATCCACCTTGAATTTATTTTTGTATATGGTGTAAGTTGGTGCTCAAGTTTCATTTTTTTTTGCACGTGGCTGTCCAGTTCTCCCAACACCATTTGTTGAAGAGGCTATTTTTACTCCATTTTATGTTGCTGCCTCCTTTGTCAAATATTAATTGACCATAGAGACTTGGGTTTATTTCTGGGCTCTCTGTTCTGTTCCATTGGTCTATGTGCCTGTTTTCATGCCAGTACCAGGCTGTTTTGATTACAGTGGCCTTGTAGTATAATTTAGTGTCAGGTATTGTGATCCCTCCTACTTTACTCTTCTTCCTCAAAATTGCAGCAGCTATTTGGAGTCATTTATGATTCCATATAAATTTTTGAAGTGTTTGTTCTATGTCTGTGAAATATGCCATTGATACTTTAATAGGAATTGCATTGAATGTGTAAATTGCTTTGGGTAGTATGGACATTTTGATGATATAAATTCTTCCAATCCATGAAAACGGTATATGTTTCCATTTGTTTGTGTCTTCCTTGATTTCTTTCCTGAGTGTTATGTAGTTTTCTAAATACAGGTCTTTTACCTCTTTGGTTAGGTTTATTCCTAGATATTTTATTTTTCTTTTTGCTATTTTCAAATGGGATTTTTTTCCTTGATCTCTGCTTCTGCTGTTTCATTGTTGGTGTACAGAAATGCCTTTGATTTCTGGATATTCACTTTTGTATCCCACTGTTTTGCCAAATTCATTTATTAGGTCAAGCAGTTTTTTGGTGGAGTCTATAGGATTTTCTATGTACACTGTCATGTCATCTGCAAACAGTGACAGTTTTGTTTCCTTCTTTCTGATTTGGATGCCTTTAATTTCTTTTTCCTGTCTGATCACTGTGGCTAAAACTTCCAGTACTATATTGAATAGAAGTGGTGAAAGTGGGCAGCCTTGTCTTGTTCCTGATCTTAGTGGAAAATATTTTAATTTTTGCCCATTGAGAATGATTTTGGCTGTAGGTCTCTCATATATGGCCTTTATTATGTTGAGGAATGCTCCCTCTATTCCCACTTTGCTGAGTGTTTTTGTCATAAATGGATGCTGCACCTTATCAAATGCTTTTTCTGCATCTATTGATATGATCATGTGGTTTTTGTCTTTGCTTTTGTTTATGTGATGTATTACATTTACTGATTTGTGAATATTGTACCATCCTTACATCCCTGGAATAAATCCCACTTGGTCATGGTGTATGATCTTTTTAATGTATTGTTGAATGCGGTTTGCCAGTATTTTGTTGAGGATTTTAGCGTCAATGTTCATCAGTGATATTGGCCTGAAGTTTTCTTTCTTTGTTGTGTCTTCATCTGGTTTTGGAATTAGGATGATGTTGGCCTCATAAAAATAGTTTTGGAATCTCCCATCTTTTTGGATTTTTTGGAATAGTCTGTGAAGGATAGGGGTTAGCTCTTCCTTAAATGCTTTGTAGAATTCTCTTGTGAAACCATCTGGGCCAGGGCTTTTGTGTGTTGGGAGTTTTTTGATTACTGCTTCGATTTCTTTTGTTGTTATTGGTTTGTTCAGGCTTTCTGTTTCTTTTTCATTGAGTTTTGGAAGATTATATTTTTCTAGAAATTTGTCCATTTCACCTAGGTTTTCAAATTTCTTGGCATGCAGTTCTTTGTAGCAATTTCTTACAATCCTTTGTATTTCTATGGTATCTGTTGTAATCTCTCCTCTTTCATTTCTGATTGTGTTAATTTGGGTCTTCTCTCTTTTTTTCTTGATGAGTCTGCTTAAGTGTTGGTTGATTTTGTTTATCTTTTCAAAGAACCAGCTCTTGGATTCATTGACCCTTGGAATTGTGCTTTTAGTCTCTATGTCATTTAATTCTGCTCTGGATCTTGGTTATTTCCTTCCTTCTTCTTGCTCTGGGCTGTCTTTGTTGTTGTTCCTCGAG